AATTCTGCTATAGCGAACATGATTTACCGTTTGCTTACTGTCACTAAACAAAACAATGATGCATTCACGGCACCAAAATAAATATATTTGAGGTAACGCAGTGTTGATTTATTGTTCCTTTTTTGCATTTGCCAGCAAGAGAACAACGTTAACGATTTGCAACTTTATATGGTGTTTTCATTACATATCCTAGTTTTTCTTATTTGTCGTTGTTCTCGTCCTCCTCAACGATGCTTTGCTTCTTCATTACTCTGCGCGTCTTCTACATAATCTTGGCAAAAGTTTTCGTGCCTTTTTCACTCTCAAAGTTCTTCCAAGTCTTCAGCACAACACGCGACTCTCAATGTCGCCGCTGTTTTTCGACGCGTTGTTTTTGCGCTCAAATATACACCTGGCCAGAGTGACGTTGTCGAGATTGTTTTCCAGCTGCGGGTTCAGCAATTCGAACTTGGCGTAAACGATCGAGACCTTGACGTGCAACGTGCGTTCGATTAGACGCTCGAACAGCTGACGAGCGTTTTTGTCGTGCCCTGAGCGATTTCAAGGTCAATATACGATCTCTACAGCAGTCCTGGCATGTTCAATTGCGGCCGCGCAACGGCAAATTTGTAGATCGCGCGGGCGCAATCGATCTCATTCAAACGCGTTTCCACCTCAGCAAATTGCACCACCGTGGCGCAATTCTCCGGACTCAACTCGAGAAACTTCACATACAACTTGCGACATCGATCGAAACTCAACAAGCTGCGTTTCCAGATCAATGTAACTTTGATAGAGCTTGTACGTCCGACAGATGCCCAGTGCCAGATCCAACGTTTTTTTGTTTTCGCGACGTTCTTTTGTCGGATTACAACAACGTACGCGTAATACAGCCAGATCTTGGAGAAAATGAAACGTTTTTGTGATATGAGTTCCAGACACACTTTGTGCACCTCACGGCAACGTTCGATGTCTTTCGTCTCTAGTTTCTCAAAGATGGCATACTTGATTTAAAGGTAGATGTACCTATATGCCAGCATTGTTTTTTCTTGGTTGACGAAACTGTAGCGATTGCTTATTCGTACGTCTTGTAAAACACATTGGGTTTACTTACAAGATAATAGAACCACGTGTTGTAGTTAGACGGATTCTGCTTCACTCTCTGCTCGTATTGATGCTTCTTCTTGCAGATGACATCCTCGATTCCCAAGCAATCGCCGTACTTCTTTTTGTGAATTGTATAAACCTTGTATAAGCCTTGTACCTTTTTTGACTGCTTCTTTTTGACAAATGTTCCAAAGCCTACTTGTAGATGATACGCGCGCAAACGTGTTTTTGTTGATTTTTCTCGAACTTGGCAAAAGCCGGAAACAATTTCTCGACCAGACCCTCGTCTTCGTAACAAGTTCACCGCTTGTTCGTAAACGTCGTGCGCGCTTCTGATAAATTTGTAAAGCTCCTCCGTACTGTATCCATCGCTTTATCGGGATGTACTGTCACATCCGTGGACTTAGATGTTTAAGTACTTATTGTATCGAGTTTTCTTTTCTTTTTCTTTTTCAGTTTTACTTTGTTACAGTAGTCGGTAAGTTACCAGCCTTGAACATGTACCATGGTCGGTAATTTACCATTGTCGGTAATATACC